ATCACCTTGATAGAACAGAGGCATTCCCAGCAGAACAGAAGGTACTCAGGATTCTTCCAGATACTCACATTTTTATGTGTAGTTCTTGCTAGCAAAAATTTGGGCGAAGCTCTTTGAAAGGCATCCTGTGAACCCCGTGTCTTGAGTGAGTAAAATGAGGTGATGTGTAAGAACCAAATAATTATTCAAAATTCTTAGCAAACAGGAAGGTACCTGGGGAAGGAGAAGATGATGACTAAGGGGTCCTATTTTTACTGAACAGCTTCATCAGAAGGAAATACAGAAATGTAGGACTGAGGTGCGAGTCTTTCCTCCCCACCGTGTCACTTCTCTCTTTCTTCAGGCAATAGACTGGTAGCGAGTCCATTTTATGCCCATCCTTGGGATATGAGTAGTAGTTTGCCTCACTGTCTATGTATTCCCTCCATTTCTCTAGGTCATCGTAATTTTTGTTTATTTTAGCTTTTTTATTAAAGCATAATGCAGCTTTCACAGTGTCTGTGTTCATAACAAATTCTAATTTTCTATGGGCTTTTTTTTTATCCCCCTATGAAGAGATCAGTGTTAGCTGATCTCTGTTTGGACAAAAGACATACCGCTCTAACGAGCAGTGTTTCTTTACGGCTAAATTGAGGTTTCAGGGATGTTCTTTTTGTAGGCCATTGCCTTATTTGCCAGCTTCCTCTAAAAGTCCTCTTACAGCAGCCTCTATTTTAACTGGGCCTTCGGGCAATAGAAGGGCCTGGTTCGTTTGCTTGTTAGGAGTGTGTGACTCGAGTAACAGCAGGCTGTGTGCAGTAGGTTGGTCTCAATTCTGCTCTAAGTGAGGAGAATTCCACGGGGCGTAATCTGCACGTGGGATCCTGGTGGAAATTTTTACTTTAATGACTGAATATGAACACCTGCCAAGTCTTCTGTCTGAAAGCAGACCTTCCAGCATGACGTTCAGGACACATCAGTGAGATGGTGAAACTTGAACTGTTCTTGCCGTACTGAGAATTTGCAGTGGACAAATAGAAGACGTCATTCTTGGGGTAAAAGCTCTTCAAAGTCTAAGTGTAATTTGAAAAGAAAAATTTTTAACCTCCTTCAAAAGGTCTTCAAGTATAGCCCACAGTAACGCAACACGCTGTTAAAAGGTTTTGTCCTCTTAAGACCTCCATAGCAGTAGCTATTGAAGATCAATATTTTGGGGGAGGGTAGTGAGAAAGCTCAACAATGGGTGATTTTTTTTATTTTTCTTTATGCCTTTTTTTCCCCTAACCCTACAGAAATATGTAGACTTGGTGTGGAGTCTATGCCATGTTGTCCATTATAATAAATGAGTCACAAAACGAATTACCACAGCTTTCTGCATACTCTGGTTTGATTTTCCTTGCCTTCTTTAATGTTAAAATAGAGGTTGTAGTGCAAGATAGTAGTGTTTTCAAAATTATGGTTTTAACGAATGGAAAAATGTGAGAAGCCCTGAATTTGTGCTTGCTGGAACTAATAGTCTGAAAACTTTGAGACTTCTGGTAGTTTTTACCCTGCATTATTATCTCCATCTGCTACTTAATTTGGAAATTCAGTTTCGTAGTTCGTACAGTACTTGATTGCTGATTGCTGTGTAGATGAGGGGACAGAAGGGATTTGCTACAAACCATAAGAACTCAGTGGCGGTGGGTGTATCATCAGTATGTTTTTTAGAGAGCTTAAGGCTGAAGGATAAGCTAGATCACTCTAGCAATCCTGTAGACTTGAGGCAGTTATTTTTCATCTGGTTACTTTGCAAGTGGGCTACACTACGGTTGTTGTCAACGCTTTGAGCTGCTGTTGGCTCTAGTGTTGAGCCTAGTGTAGAGCAGTCGCCCTCAACAGAAGTATTGTTCTTCCTGTGGCCTGGATGTGTTTTTTCAGCATGTTTTGAAAAGTGTTAAGTAAAGGAATAGTGTTCTGCAGGGTAACATTAAGAGCATTGTTTTGTTTTTTTAGAAGTGTATATTTAAGTGTATTTTTAAAGTGTCTTCCTCTGTGAATTCTGCTACGTGCCAATAACGGACAGCACTATTCAGCACTGGTAAGGCCACACCTGGAGCACTGTGTCCAGTTCTGGGCTCCCCAGTACAAGAGAGACATGGACATACTGGAGAGAGTCCAACAAAAGGCCACAAAGATGACGAAGGCACAGCAGCATCTCTCCTAAGAGGAAAGGCTGAGAGAGCTGGAACTGTTCAGTGTGGAGAAGAGAAGGCTCTGGGGGAGCTCATCAATGTATACAAATACCTGAAGGGAGGGTGCAAAGAGGAGGGAGCCAGGCTCTCCTCAGTGGTGCCCAGTGACAGGCCCAGAGGCCACAGGCACAAACTGAAAGACAGGAGGGTCCCCCTGAACATCAGGACACACTTTGTCACTGTGAGGGTGACCGAGCACTGGCACAGGTTGCCCAGGGAGGTGGTGGAGCCTCCATCCTTGGCGGTATTAAAAGCTGTCTGGACATGGTCCTGGGCAACTGTGTCCAGGTTGTCCCACTTGAGCAGGGGGGTTGGACCAGCGGACCTCCAGAGATCCCTTCTGACCTCAACCATCCTGTGATTCTGTAATAAATGTCCTATTTATGCTCCTTGTTACAAGTTAAATGTTGGAAAGATTTTTGTTTTCACCAACCTTGGCAGCAGTAGCTAGTGGAATCTTGTAACCATTTCCATGGATGTGAGAAGGATTTGTATCTCTGTTTTCCTGAAAGGGCTGCCTCATCCTGATTCTTACGCTAAGGGAGTTGGGGAAGATAACTTGTTCTCTGTCCTTCTCTGTCAGAACCCAGACCTGTGAGTTGTTTATGGAGTACACTGTAGGCTAATACCGATGTTGTAAGGGGAGGAACACTTGGTATCGGCCACGAGTCAACTGAAGTCTGCAGATCTTTCCCATAACTTTCTGTCCTGGAGCAAATAGAGCCTCTCTCGTCCAGCAGGGAGAAATTGTTTGAATGGCCTTGAGGTTATCCGCCTCATGTCTGCTTTTTACCTGTGGTCGGCAGCAAGAACTGAGGCCGAGGAAGAAATGTTTCAGTGGAACAGGTTCATTGTGTCAAACCAGGTGGAAGCTTTTCTGCTGGTTGGAGCAATTGATCTTTGAGACATTTGGTCAGGAGCTGTAGGGAAGTTGTGGCAGTGGTTCGGGCCCTGATGCTCTTTGGCCATACAGTCCAAGGAACAGACTTGTCTGACAAGTACTTTCTATTTCTAATTGTACCTTTAACATACATAGAGGACTTAACAGTTCACGTATCATACAGATCTTCAGTACTCGCTCCAAGAGTTTAAAAAGGGCTGTTAGGCATCAAAGATGCTACTCTAAGGGTATTGACTTAATCTTTGAATGAGTCACACAAACACTGTGCTAACACGCTAAGTAGTGAAGGAAAAACACTATTAATCCCATTTGTTACATGCAGTTGTGCCATGGAGCCTCTGAAAAAGGTTTTTGCAACAGTTCTATCTTTGAAGAAACTTTCTGAGCCCCCTCTTCGAGCATTCTGCTTGCCCCTCCACTCTCTTTAATCAACAAACTTCTCATAAGCCAGTGTATACAAAATTAAATTGGAGCATGCCCGAGCAAGAAATGCAAAGCTAGTTGATGACTATTCATAACCACTGTTGTGGTTGTGAATAAATAAATGCCCTCCTCGTAAACCATCCCAGTTTTGAATTCTCACATGTTGGCCTTCCAGAAAATAATACGCTTCTCCTAGTGCACCAGGTGCTCTTTTAAAAACTGTGTTGGTGAAGTCAGGGAATAATTAAGCATCAAAAACTAAACAGCAGTTACGAACTTTCACAGGCAATCGACATCATACAAACATCTTGCCATGTGTGCAAGTATCTTTTCCAAAACAGGTCCATCCCTGACCTCTTGGTTATGATCACGTTGGCCGGCTGAGAAAGTACTTGTAGGAAACAAGCCTGAGAGCCAAAATCTGTACTTCGGGAAACCGAGTTTTGTGGATTCAGTAGAGACAAACTAACTGGCAAACGGCAGTTTCCCTGCCCTCCCTGTTCCCGCTAAGCCATGCCTGTTCCAGACGTGTTCATTCTCTTTTGCTCCATCTCATGAACAACCTAGTCGCTTTTGTGCTTTCTGCCGTACATCTGTTTTGTGGAGCACAGCTGAAACTGTGTGGAGCTTGTTAACCTATGTTTCAGGCTTGGAGAAGGATCTAGGTGCATAAAAGCTAGTCTTGCTCTTCCCTGACAGTATTATTTGATCTAACAAAATATTGCCTTTGCCAACAAACCTACAGTAGCACTATTACAATTTGTTTTCAAATCGCTCTCATAAAATATGGAGCTTTTAAAAATCTTTCCACTAAGGAAACTGAGCTGTTAGACAATATTTTCCTTTTTTTGAACCTACACACTGTGACAGCGTGCCTTTTGTTCATATTTCCAAACATGGCTAAGATCAGTTCTAGTAATAATCTATTATTTACCCATTTTTACATTTGAGTCATTGTCTTTACATTGCTGACCTTTAATATTTTGTCAAGATGGCAGTTGAACAGCAGTTATTTTTTTCCTCATGTAAATGAATAGCCACGCTAGTTACAAAAAAGTCTTTTAATACGTATTACAGTTTTATTTACAACTCTGTCAATATTTTAATAATTGGATTAAGTTTCTTTCGTAAATATTTAAACAAATGCTGATTTTCCTTAAATATGAGGAAACACTGTAAGAAAACAGTTGCCTTAAGGCCAAGAAGAGGTGCTGACTGACTGGATGCCTGAGAGTAAGGTGCTATGGGGCATAAACAGCTTTAGGAAATGGGAAATGCTTTCCTGTTTGTAAAATGGGTGTGACTTAATTCTTAGGTAAGAGAAAAGTGCAGTAAAATGTGTGGATGTTGAGTGACGCAGGAGAAGAGGAGGGAAGAAAGGGTTAAAAGAATTAAAATGTAGAGAAACTACTCTCTTGGTCTGCTGATCAGTTTATTATTAATTTGTATTTAAATAGGTGGTTGAATCCCTTATTTATTATTGGCCATAAACGGAAGCTTGAAGAAGATGATATGTATAAAGTGCTGCCAGAAGATTCCTCAGAGAAGCTTGGAGAGGAATTACAGTGGTAAGGAGAAAAATCATTGTTCTCTTTCATTGTATTTCTGCTGTTGAAGGGAAGAGTTTTATTCCTACTCTAAAATTAAAAGAAGTTGTTGTAAAGTTGAACAAAGTCTACTGTTAAAAATGCTGAAGAGCTAAGAGTAATATTTAGAACTTGTTTACCATGGAAGCATTTTAATTTTTCAAGTTACACATAATGAAAATGTATTAAGAGTATTTCCATTATGTCATTTATAATTAATATGACACTTTGCAGAATGTTTGGAAAAGATGACTTTTCATCAACTGTTGCTGCAGGAATCCTTAATAAATTAACGTGAGTCTTTTGGTCTGTGGTAGAATAGCTATGGAAACTTTTAAAATAAAAGTAGGGAAGAAGTTTTAGGTTTTATTCTTTGTTGGTTGTGAGCACAAACTGAATTAAGTGACAGCTGTGTACCCTTTATATATGTGTGTGTATAAATATATATGTCTGTTGAAAATATGCCACTCTTTGGCAAAGTGGATGAAATGCCTTGGACATCTAAAAGCTTGCGTCTAGGAGGTGTTTTTATTTTGTTATAAATACTCTTTCATGGACTGTGTACCAATTCATGTCACTGTGAACATGAAGCAGGATCTATCTCTTTTAATAGTGAAATATCTTCCAAGAATAACAGTTTATGTAAATTGACTTGAACCTTGCAATAGAGAAGATTTTTGTCTTCAAATCATCTTCTGTTAAATATAATTAGAGGAAGAGGTGTCTCCTAATGAAAGATGGCCCATGTATTAAGGAAGTGTGGCCTTGCTATTTCTTGCCTTTATGCTGAAGGTAGAGCCGATCAACTTTCCTAATAGTTTGGTTGGGATGAGAGATTCCTCAAGAAGTAAAAAAGAATCGAAAACCAAAAGGTTATGACCAGGTCTTATATCATCCTGCTCTGGCTGAGTTAACTAAAGAAAGAGGGACAGTGATAAGCTCATAGGAGTGCAGCTTTTAACATCTTTCTAGCTGGAGAGCTTTGCCAGATTCTGCGGATGTGTCCTGAAGCAGTTCAGGGAGTTCACTGTGGAGGAAGATGGACTCTTTCCAGTGATTCTTACAGTAAAAGCACACACTTTCCATGAGTCAGGAAATGGTAGAAAATAAAGCATACAAAAAAAAAAAAAAGAGTAGTTTTTAATTCTGTAGTGTACTTGGCCAAGAAGCAGAGAATATAATTCATAAGTAGCTACCTAAGGAAGTAGCCTTTTCTCTTGGGCCAACAAACCCCACAGAATCTATTCAGTTGCAATTCTGATTCTGAAGCATTTAGATAATAACTCTATAATCTTTGTAGCAAAAAAAGAGGATAAAAATGAAAAATTTTTGTTTTCCTGTCCATACTGTATGCTTCAAACTTGTGTGCCTTGTTGCAAAATAATTTGGCTTTCAAGCCCTCAACTCATTTCGGCCCTCAAACTAGCAAGGGCAGAGGGCCTGGCAGAAAATATTTAGCCTCCAGAAGCAAGAGGAGTGAGTATCCTGTCTGACAACGGCGTGCTTTAAGAAGACTGCCTAAGTTGTGATATTTTCTTGTTAAAATCACGCTTGTTATTACTGTCTTTGATTTTGATGTGAACAGATTGTGTCCTACTCGTGGGCAGGCACGCAGTAACGCAGAGGTCTGCCGCTCTGCTGCTGTAATCCTTGCTTTCAGAGAGACATGGGGAGTGTCAACGTGACACAACTGCTGCAGACACTTCCCTCTGCTCTTGTGCCATATCTGCTCATTTTCATCGAAGCATGTGGCGCAAAAAAGAAAGAGCCAGACACGAGAAAGAGTTGTGCATCACAAACTTTCTGGGGAAGTGAAGACCTTATGAGAAGATAAAGATACTCCATGCTGCCTCAGTTTAGTCCATAGTCAGGAGATCACATGATAATAAAGCTCTTAACTAAGGTGAATGGCTGTCTGAATTGAGAGGAGAAGAAAGAAAGAAAGGGTTCCTCATCTGCAAATGTGTCAAAGTTGATAGTAGTTAACAGTGGTGAAATGTTTGTGATTATACAAGAGCAAATAGGCCTATAATACTAAGTACAACATGTTTATGTGTTCTATGGGCCATGACTATATGTTAACTTCTTTTATTTTCTTTTATTTTTTTTTTTTTGTTGTTGTGTAAAAGTGATCATGCCAATCTGGCTGTAAGTGTGAAAGTATTTTATTCCAGGTAACTGTCTTACGATTTTACTTCTGTCCTCCAGCATGTTTGCGTTTTATTTGTCAGGTACTGGGATAAAGAGGTGCAAAAAGCAAAAAAGAGAGGAAAAACGCCACATTTAACAAAAGCCATTATTCTTTGTTACTGGAAATCCTATTTAGTTTTTGGAATTTTCACAATGATTGAGGTAAGTGGTGTAAAATGCCATACAACGCACTTCTTAGCTAACGGCAGTGTGAAACTTGGCCTCTTAAATTGCATGATACATACTGGTGACTTCATGCTGGACTGTTCAGAGAATCCGTAATGTTCATGTACTCTCTCAGAAAAGTAAAACAAAGCTACAGGCCCGTAGAGACTGAAAAATTGAGTCATAACTGTGGGGTTATGGATATGGAACAGAGAGCTGATTTTAGTGCAGTGTTTTTGAGATGTTACAAGCCATTGACTTGCTGCGTAAGACTTAGCTGTATTTTATGTGTCAGAGTGGGGTGCCCCATAGAAAAAGGTTTTTTTGCTTGTGTAATGTAATGGGTGTAAAGGAGACACTGTTATCTTTAAAAATGGAAGTGGAATACATATTTATGCAATTTTTATAACATCAAAGTTTCTATTGGTAACTGAGAGAGTTCTTTTTAAAGATTCAGCTAAATTTTAACGTGGAACGTATTTCTTTTGGATTATGTGTTGATAAAAATTGGCTTGACATTTTAGAGCACAATAAAGACAAAAATAATGGGGGATGTGACTTGTGGCAGTACTTGGCTCTTGTTTGCCTGGTTACAAACTTGGATAGTGTGGTATGATATGAAATTGTTAATACTTTTTTCCCTTCTTTTTTTTTTATTTTTTTTTTTAATTTCTTTCAGGAAACCCTCAAAATAATTCAGCCAATATTTTTGGGAAAAATTATTAATTATTTTGAAAACTATGATTCCTCAGATGAGGTAGCTTTGAATTTCGCATATTGCTACGCAGCTGCTCTGTCTGTGTGCACGCTTATTCTAGCTATAATGCACCACTTATACTTCTATCATGTACAGCGGGCTGGCATGAAGCTGAGGGTAGCTATGTGCCATATGATTTATCGGAAGGTAAGCAAACTGATTTGCAGGTATATTTGGCGTTTGACAGCTATTTCATTAGAGGAGTTTAAAAATACAGTTATTTGTTATGTTCATGCTTGCAATTCCATTGAAGTTACTCGTTTGTAGAAATGTAATGCATGCTAATGTGTGTTAGACCTTAACTGTATATATGTGCTTTTGCTCTCTCTTTGGTAATACGGTATCTGAATGGCAGCTTCAGTCCTCCTAGTGAAGGTGGTGAGTTAAATAGCCCTAAAGCCTAGGAGGAGCTGCTGATTTTCACCTGCTCCTGCTGTCGGGGGGGAGGCCCCCATTGCTGGTGGAGGGGTTGTGTGCTGGAGTGGTAAGAGGCTGTCAGCATACAGCAGGAGAGGGGCAGAGCTCCCAGGGGGTGCTGGCAGATACTCAGCCCTGCCGTTTCATCCCTGGGGAGGACGTTATGCTTGGCTGTCACCATCTGCTTCAGTGCTCTCAGTTGCCTGGGAGTTGCTTCACTGTCCAATTTCCAGTCCCCCTCCCTGGCCCTGTTGTGGTTAATGGTGGGATTTTTTTAATATTTTATTCCAGCAGTGCTGTAGAACTAGTGAGTTGCCTCCTTCGCAGGTCAGAGAGGCTGACACCCCCCCCCCCCCCGCGCCCCCCCCGCCCGCGAGTTCTCACAC